ATTCGAGTAAAGTCTGCCAAGACGAATCAATATTTCACGCTCTCTGGCCATTGCAGATAAAGCCACCTGGATGATTAAGATACCACCGAGTGAATGTCCAATGAAGACAATGGGACGAGATTGTGCCTGCGGAGCAGAAGTGAGATAATGTATCCAGAAGACTCGTACCCATACCGATTTGGAAGATCTTGCAATGTACAGTTGGTCCACGAAAAACCGAGCATAGTCCAGCATGCGGCTCCTTCCCTTGTTGACCTCTATTCTACTATCGTATCCAAACGTCATGATTCGGGCTCCACGAAGGTCTCTGGGTAGGAAATCCTGAAGCCACATTCGATGACTTTGACGACTCTTCCAGGATCCATAGGGGTGTCCGGCGAGCCCAGTGACAGCAACGATGCTACAATGGTCATAAGAATCGGTAATTGATATTGATTTTAAACTCACTCGGCAGAGATGCTTTTTGGTGGAGTATTAAGGGGGGTCAAACCGTTGAAGTCGCAGTCAATGGATAGATCTTGACCTTGTGCACGGGCCACAAACGGCTTGTAAGGTACGACTTGTTTGAAATATTCTGTGCACTGGGATAAATTCAACATGCCAACTTGACCGGACCCGTGACAAGCTGGATAAAGCGAGATTTCGAATTCATTATCACGGACGTGGGGGTCGAGTGTCTCCAAGCATTGAAGGAGATTATCTTCACTCCATTCATCTGGAATACCGGATATCCTAAGACATTTTGACTTGTTTAGGGACATCGTGGTTGGAACCAATACGGGAGGCGTAGCGTAGAGTCAAGATCTCACCGAAAGTACACAACTTTCGGGAGCTTTATATCATAGAATGGCATCTTTGATAGGTCTCGTATTCATACCGGCTGTGACCCATATGCGTTGTACCCCGGCGCTGCAAAGGCGAGGAAAAGGGCAGCTACAAGTTAGTTGGCCTCGAGTTTTGATAATCATCGTTGCACCGCTTGATCGATAGAGACTGGCAAAAGTGATGATTGGTCTGCCTTGGGCGTAATAAGGAATTTAATTGAGAAAGAGTACAGAACAAACTATTCAGATTACCAATCAGTTCCCTACAGTTCCTGTAGACTACCTTCTCCGGAAAGGCCTGTGGCCGGAATGATCAACGGAGGCATAATTGGGACTAGCAAATGGATTAGTGAAATAGGTGGTTATACGAGGGTGAAAGGGACAATTAGAAGATGCTAACACCCTGAATAGGTGATAAAGCGTGGCTCAGCCGTATTGTGGCGTTGACACAACTAAAAATGTGCCGACGAGACGGTTAGCTGCGTCCGACCACATCGCGCAAAGTGACTAGAGACCCATTGAACGATATTCCCCATTCTCCATCGGCTACTCCAACTTGGAAATCATTTACCACGATATCGGATTTGACGGTCAGTGATCTCTGGAGAAAAGAGTCACCTGACCTTAGTGTGATATGAGATCCGGGGAATCTAGTTGGCAAATGAACACATCCCCGTAAGGGTTTGTGGCGATTAGTCTATTCCCGGCCACAATTGAAGGAAGCCAACTTGTTTGCTTTGTTCGACTGGTGGATCGGCCTCCGTCGGCACTACGGAGCTCATCATTATCGTGAGTTGGCATACAATGTCCAAGTTATATTCGTAGTACAAAAAAGAACCAAAATGCGTAATCAATTGCGAGCCTGAGATCGAAACCAAAGAGACAACAGTGCACGACCACTTTCTATCCTTCTAGTAAGCGAGAAGAGTTGGCTGCGAGATGAATATATTCCCAGATTCCTTTCATGAAAACCGAGGACCAAGACTTATTAGATCGGAATATCTCCCGAGAATTCTTTGGTCTCCGTATGCGCCATGATGGCCGTATGTGACCTATTCATGAAGCGCAGCTGTCCTCAGTAGATGTTGTGCCTTTTCATCCCTCGGCACGAATTGACACTCAAAGTTAACGGGAACCCTGTAGCAGAATTACGGTCAGAATTCGAATCACTCGCTGAAGATTCCGAAAAAATTCACGTACTGGACTGCTGTGTCCGACCATTCCAATTCCTCAAACTTGGGTACTTCTTTACCCTCCAGGGGAGCGACCTTGAAGATTGCGGCGATCGTGACCACCAGGTGGAACGCCACCTTGTCTCCCAAATACATGCCGGGACACAACCTATATGAACGTCTCAGAACGGGCCGAGTCCAGGCCAATGTATCAGTCATACCTCGCTCCATAACCAAACACGAGTGTGAGCGGATTTGGTTCGCCCGATGCACTAGCCCCCAAGAATCTCTCCGGCCTGAAAACGTCGGGGTCCTTCCATACCCTGGTATCATGTGACATTGCACTATATACACCGGATTGGTAAGGGATGACCAGAAGATGGACCGGGAGAATAACTCACTATTCGCATTGATGAATTATTGTGCCTTTTGGAATAAAGTAGCCTCGAATGACCTCATCCTCGGTAGTCACATGTGGAATACCTAGAAAAATATATTCCAGGTTCAATCATATGTACTAATGAAAAGAATGGTTCCAAGAGACGACGAACCGAGAGGCGAAAATTGACGATGGCGAAGAGATTCCTTGAAAACTGCTTCTGTATAGGGAAGGTTTGCTCGGTCGGTAACCTTGGGCAGTCGCAGACCATGAGTGACGCTTTGAATTTCTTCATATACCCGTTGAGAGATTTCGGGGTACAGAAACAGGGCCACGAGGAAACCCATGATCGCCCCAGTAGTCTTCAAGCCAGATTAGCAAACCCTAAGACCACTCGGGGTAACACTTACAGTATCAGCTGCAGCTGATATAATGCAATCAATATGTGGACTTGGATAGGATTGAGGAGCACGCTCACCTCCATAAAGTACCGACGTTGCATCGCGGACATCTTCATCGTCCCCACACTCTTCTAAAAGATCATTCAGAATACAATGACCTAGCATCCCGGATTTCTTTGTGGAAGGGAACACATTCAGCTCGGTAAGTAGAGATATGGAGCTCGAGTGACATACATATAGCTCCAAGCCCCTCGTATATGCCCTGTACCGTACTTTCTGGGAGACAGCTGCCCCCTCCTTGCCGAGTTGTCTGTAATGCATAGCCTTAGCACCAACCTCCGATGCCAAGAGATAGTGACGAACTTGTAACGAAGACCAGGGACCCAATCCGGAACAAAGCGCACTGGTTCGTAAATCTTGTTAATCTAACAACCTCGATATGTGCCACCATGTGCTCACAAAAGTGGAGAAAGTTGACGAGCCAAAAGCCAAAGAAGGCTTCACCCACCAGAGTTGTAAGCTCCACGTTCCAAGGCATCATATTTGCGCCCATCTCCTCCCATACCTTCTCACCATAAGTGAATTTGGTGACCATACTTCCGACAGCACTATCGGAAAAAAGCCTCAGCATAGTCATATGGCGCTCGAGAGGAGACAGCAAACAACGTACCCGTAAATGATCCTTTTAGGGTGACCACGGAACGTTTCTAGTTCCACCATGAGCTTAGACATTGCCAATTCGATTACAGGATCGTAACTCCCGACTCGTTGGGGACCAATCCCACGTCGAAACATCTTGCGTTGGTTCGAATGACGAAACCCAGGTTGAATAAGGGTAGTGGTCCATCCTAGATCCATGCTGTGTGACGTATTAGTTTTACACTTCGTAACTGAACGAAAGCAAACACTCACAGATTCGTGAGCAGGTAGCTGGAAAGACGCCCACTGGTAGTGTTTGGTCTCTTGGAAAGTAGCTCATGGGCGGCGTCATGTGAGCTGAGGATTACCATGTTTGTCCCCAGTACGGGTGCATAAACAATGTCACCTAATTGAAAAAGATTAGTCCTTCACTATTCCAGCCCCAGTTGATCTCTTACCGTAAGTTGCGGCCCATTCTTGGAATCGCAGAAAGAGGTGATGCTTCGGAAAACTTAGTAACGCCCCAACTAGCGGGAATCTCGGTGGACCAGGTGGATAAGAGAGTGTACTACGACCCTTGGAGAATAGCTTCTTTGCACTCAGATAACCAAGAGAGGCAACAGCGAGGGAAACAGCGCAGGTTTGAAGTGGAGAGTCGACAACCTTGGAGAACGCCACACCCACGAGGTCGTCGGGAACCTTCATCATGAATATCTTTGATCTGGCCAACGACGAAGAAAATGTTTCCTCAACTGGGATGAGTAAGAGGGAAAACTAGGAGTGTTGAGGTCTAGCCCTATTAGTATGTGCTTGAGCCCTCGTTCCTTGATCGAGTGGATGGCCAGGGCGAAGTGCCGAAGTGGCATCCAATCGGCTCACGCTAAAGGCCAACAATGCCCGGTCGGGGTACAGTATAGGGTTAAAAAGTTTATCATCTAAGAAGGTGCTAGCAAATGATCTAGCTCGTTGACAAGGAGGTAGCAGTGAAGTTTATAGTCCCAATTATGTCCTACACATGATGGCGATCTATTCGTGAAGCGCCGCAGCCTTTAACAGGTGTCGCGCCTTCTCATCCCTCACTGTGAACCGGCATTCAAAACCGATAGGTTGCCTGTAGTCGTAAGGGTCAGAGCTTGGGGTAATGAACGGGACAAGAACGTGATTTTCGTACTGGATTAAGATATCGTGCCATTTAACGGACTCAGGTGCAGGTCGTTCTTTACCCTCCAAGGGAACGATCCTGAAGAGCGAGCATATCGTAGCTACCAAGTGGAACGCCAGCCTATCAGCTAGATACATGCCAGGACATACTCTAAATTGGTATGTCCATGTCGTTCGTTAGTCGTTCGTTTATCTGACACGGGGTGAACGTACCTTGTTCCATATCCAAATATGACCGTAAGGGGATTCGGTGTCTCTGACGCCTCAGGTCCCAAGAACCTCTCGGGTTTGAAGACCTCCGGATCTTTCCATACTCTAGAATCATGGAACATAGCTCTACTCATTGAATCAGCAGGTCAATCTAGAAGATGGAGATGACTTACAATGTGCATTGGTGAATCATGCTTCCTTTCGGTATAAAGTACCCTCTGATGGTCTCATCTTGGCTGTTGATGTGCGGGACACCTGTATGTACAACGTCTGAGTGGTCTATATCCGGTGGTAATAGATAACAGAGCAACAACGAACCGATGGGCATAAGAGGGCGTATACGAATTGTCTCTTTGAAAACAGCCTCTGTATAAGGTAGTCTCGAACGATCGGCAATTTGGGGTAGTCGTAGGCCATGAGTCACGGATTGAATCTCCTCGAACACACGCTGGCATACTTCTGGGTAGAGAAAGAGGTGAAGGAGAAAGCCGATGATTGCCGCCGTTGTCTTTGAAGTTATTTCACAGAAGGTGAGGTCAGTAGATGGCCGCAAGTTCCCTCGATGGTCACCAAAGACTTACGGTATCAGCAGCCGCTGCGATGAACTAAGTCAACGCTCGTGAGTAGAGTACTTTGAGACTACATGCTCACCACCATAAAGCACTGATGTCGCATCTCGCACATCTTCGTCGTCGCCAAACTCTTCCAGGAGATCGTTAAGAATACAGTGACCCAATGTTCCAGATTTCTTTGAGAAATTGTTAAGTAAATGGGCAATGAGAAGTTCGGTCGACTTACATATAGTTTCAAACCCTTCTCATAAGC